TGGCATTGGTTTTCCCTTTGGCACATTGTTTTAATATCCAGCTTACTAAATGACAGCTAGATTGCAATATCTGGTTCAGCATCTGGTAAGATGTTTTGATTGAACAATATAAAGAAAGTCTTGGCTCAGAGAAACATGTAGTTAGAAAAGAGGAGTAGTCTAACAGAGTTTTTAGATAATTGTGACTATTCTTCTTTGATAATACATTAAAACTTGACAAGTGATAGTTTTATAAAGGGTATGTGTCATGTGGAATCTGAAACTATATCACCTACTGTTCTCTGTTAAATTAAAAGTAATGTGGCTCTACCTTGCTTTTTGAATGGATCTTTTACTCATACATTGGTCATTTAAAGAATATTGGTCGCCTGAATTATGTAGGGCTTTCAAATGCAGCGGATAATATCACTACAATCTCCTTAGAACAGTTAGTAGGAAGATGTCAAGATTCCAGTATTAAATACTAGTTTTCTAAAATCCTAATGTTCACTTTAAATCTCAGCATTAATTACCCTGGCTGGTTTGGCTCATTGGTTAGAGTGTCAGCCCACAGACCAGTGAGTCGCAGGTTCAATTCCGTTCGGCTGCTGTTCCCCGGCCCTGGTCCAGGTCATGCAGGAGGCAACCAATGTGTCTCTTTCACATCAATGTTTCTCTTTCTTTCTCTCTCTCCCTCCTTCATTCCCTCCCACTCAGTCTAAAGATGGATGAAAAAATATCCTCAGGTGAGGATTAAAAGAAAAAAGTTATCATTGAAAACATATGCTCTTAATTATTTTCCTTGAAGTGAAAGACTTACTTTGTTCACGTTGAGTAAAATATTTGCCAAATATCCAATTATGAACAACCATAGTTTGTCTGTCACTGGTTCCTTTCAGTAAATAGCGCCAAGAGTCTGGTTTAGCTGATAGCTCAAACAATCTCACAGGTGCTTTTTCTTGACTCAATCTTTATACTTCTGTTTGCAGCAGCAATGCTTTATACATACTTCTTATTTATTTATTCCCACAGAAAAATAAAAAGATGTGTATTCAGTGGTCAAGATTTAGCAAAATCAGTGTTTTCCTGCATCATCAAGAATATTATTAAATATAACTGGTCCTTTTATTTCCTGCAAGTGTGTGACAGTGAATAAATTAATAATTACATTTACAGTGTGGTGCCAGCACCTTGATTCATGCTAAGCCCCCCAAATTTTACCCTCTATTGCTTTTGTATTATTGGTACAAATGCCAACACACTGAAAAAGGCAGCAGATTCTGGTCTTATTTGGAAAATATCTTGATTTTATTAACTTTTTGAAATGGGTCCGATACTCTCCAGGGTGCAGCAGTTTTGAGAACCACTCTTCTGGATCAGTGTTTCTCAAATACGATATACAGCCCTGGCCAGTTTGGCTCAGTGGTTAGAGTGTCCGACTGCAGACTGGAGAGTCCTGGGTTCGGTTTCCGCTAAGGACACATACCTCTGTTGCAGTTTGTCCCTGGCCCCAGTTGGGACTGTGCTGGAGGCAACCACTCCATGTGTCTCTCTCATATCGATGTTTTTCTCTCTCTTCCTCCCTCTCTCCCTCCCGCTCTATCTGAAGGTAAATGCAAAAATGTCCTCAGGTGAGGATAAAAAAAAATGATATACACATTTTCTGGGGATGAAATTCGAAATCAGTAGTCTTGAGGTGGGACAGGAAAATTGCATTTGTAACACGTTCCTGGGTGAAGGTGATGCCCCGTATAGGTGGCTGCCTTTTAGAAGCACGTCCCTAGGACTGCACCGTCTAATACAGGAGCCACTAAGTTATATGTGGCTTCTTTAATTTAAATTTAATTAAATAAAAATAAAGTTGATCAGGCATATTATTTTTATTTTCAGCATTCAAAGCCACTTGAGGCTCGTGGCTGCCATAGTGCACACACAATTAGAGAACTTTTTCATCATCACAGAAAGTCACTGGACAGTGCGACTCTAGATCATTTCCGTGGAGTGAATGATAGGCCCTTGTAACTGAATTCTTGAATATTAATTAGAAACAATCCTTCAAACAATGTGGGGTAACTTATGAATAACTTTATTTTTCTGCTAAATGCAACAGAGGCAATAATTTAGGATTAAAAAAAATATTTTAAACTTGATAGCTTCAAGTTGCCTGACTAATTTCTTATGAACTCTTTAGTGCTGTGTCTTTATGAGCTTCGTAAGCTGATATTGCCAAGGCTGGTGCATGGTATTCCATTTTCTTGTGGAAGAAAGGATTCTATTTAAAAGATAAAATGATTAGATAACTGATACAGAGATAGAAAAAACCTTACTCATTTTAAACGATTTTCATAATCAAAACATGGTCCTCTGTACAGCTCACAAGGAACAATTTCAGTGAAAGAACCCCCCGAGGGAGAGTGAAAGGTCACATATACCTCAGAGGTTAGCAGGTGGGATAGTGTTTCGCCTGGGCACACGCCAGTGCAGGCAGCGTGCTGAGAGGCATTCCTTGGCGTTCACTTGGGCAGTTCTTGCCCTGATGAGAGCTGGCCAAACTCTGCATACCCCACCTGATTCAAGGAAATGTTCCAAGGTAGGCTTTCCAAAAGCATTCCTTGTCTGCACAGTTCGCAAGCTGAGAAGAGCCTCGTTGGAATGAAGAGCAAATAGAAGCTAACAAAAATAAGTAGGGGAAGTCATTCTAGATTGTATTATGGGCTTTTCTTTAGGTTATTTTTTTTTTTCTGTCACCACTATATACTTCTAAAGAGGAAGTTGTGAATGTGGCACACCTGAAGCATAGCTTGTTATTTGGGGCTATGAGAGCACCTCAATAGCAAAGCAGAAAGCCTTTTTCTGCCAAGCATTTCAGTTTTAAAAGTAGGTATGGTGCCTGGCCAGTGTGGCTCAGCAGTTGAGTGTCAACCCATGCACCAAGAGGTCGCAGGATCGATTCCTGGTCAGGGTACATGCCCAGATTGTGGGCTCAGTCCCTAGTGGGGGGCATGCAGGAGGCCGCCAGTCATTCTCTCTCATTCATGTTTCTGTCTCTCTCTCCCTCTCCCTTCTTCTCTCTTTCTAAAATTAATGAAGAAAAACAAATTTTAAAAAAAGGTAGATATGGTGCTGGATATTTGGAGAGAAATGAACAATGTCTACCCTGTTATTGGTCTGTCTTTATGTAACTAATGTACTTTTATACAGTTGTTCAGTGAGAACTAATAGGAGACAGAGAGTGTTCCGTCAGACTCAGGCACTGGTTTGCCAGCGTTCAGAAGCACCGGATTAGCAGTTCTTGTAACTTCATCCTCCAGAGCAGATGTTGCTCTTGTCAGTTCAACTCCCATTGGGATAGATGCATCTTGGCTTTGAAACTTTTCAGACATCAATAAAATGCCCCCACAAGGAGCAGACTGATGAATGCCATTGGAATCTACATCTAAGAAACATGTTTTCCCATTGCCGCGTTAGCTGTCACTGTGGTTTTTCAGTCTGGTACCGTAATTCTCTCTCCCAGCTCACACATTGATAACGTCAGAGCCACATCTTAAATCTGTGCTCTGTCGGGGACCCTGGTTCAACTCTCAGTGGTCAGCATTATTGTGAGAGGCCCGGCTGGGGTCACTGTTCTTGTTATGTAGTCAAGACAAACATCGGGACATTTTAGGTAAAAAGCAGGATTGCCTTTGCTTTTTGGTGTGCAGGTGGGGCCTGGTGGGAGGCTGATGCGCTGGGTGGCATTTTTGGAGAAAAACTTCTGTGGGAGCTCAGTGCGCTGTGCCGGCCCTTCATAGGCAGATGTGATCTCTTCTGTTTACACCATTCCCTACCTACGTCACTTGACGCAGTTCCTCTACCCACGTTTGCTGGTCTGACTCCTGCTTTAGAGCGCTGACCTCCCATCATAATCTAATATACCTGTGGGCATCAGAGGTATAACTGTTCAGGGGAGCCATGGTAAGAAGGGCCAGCTTGCAAAGACCGGATACTGGCAGCCAATTTCCCCTCTGCAACTTCTCAATGAACCATTGGCATTTATTGAGAAGCTACTATGTGCCAGGCCATGGGTTAGGTGCCAACTGATAGTAGGCCTTCCAAACTAATTTGTTGAAAGAAAGAAGAAAAAACTAAAAGGATAGCTTATGGATTTTTCACAACAACCAAATCTATTAATGTGTATTAGGACTTAAGAAGCTTAATATTAGATATAATGGAGTGAACCCTGACAGAAGCAGAAACTTTTTAAAACCCTCCATCTAGTCTTCTTTATTTCTTTATTTAGTTTTATCCTCACCTAAGAAATTTATCTTCAGATAGAGCTGGAGGAAGAGGGGAAGGAAGAAAGAGAGAGAAACATCAAATGGTTGCCACCCACACGACCCCAGCTGGGGCCGGGGACAAACTGCAACCGAGGTATGTGCCCTTAGTGGAAACCGAACCTGGGACACTCCCGTCTGTGGGCTGACACTCTAACCGCTGAGCCAACTGGTCAGGACCATCTAGTCTTCTTTAAAGGCAAATGGTTTGAGTGTTCACACATCTGCACACAGACGTTTTTGTTTCTTGTAGATTCAGCATATTCTTAAACTTTAATGTGCTTAAAATATAGTACAGAATTTCATGTAAAATTATGGATTCTCAGACTTTATAGTTTACTTAGGATATCTAAGGGTAATTTTCTCCCTAATCAAGGTTTGCCATAAAAGCTAATTTTTGTTTCCATGCATCAAATGCTATTACACTATATTTATGAATCTCAGAATTAGCATTACATCAAAACTATATTATGGAGAGACCAGATAAAAGTCTCATAATAGGTGAAATTTTAATACTGAGTAGTTTGACGTGAGACTGACTGTTCTACTTTTTTCTTCCAAAGTTTATATCACTTGGTATATTTATTAGATAATTGAAGTACTTGCTTTCCAACTAAAATCTACAAGGACTCATGGTTTGTTTTCTATACTTGCAATTGGGTTTAATTTTTTCAACTAGGAACAAATATTATAACTACCTGTTTTCAGAAAGAGCAACTCATCATCAGCTATAGAAGAGCAAAGATGCCATTTATAAATGTAAGTGACTATTCTAATACACCCCTACCATAAAAGCAATTGATTTCAGTACTTAAGGGTGCTTTTTAAAATTTGTTTTAAAGATGTTATTTTGTCTACTATAAAGATGAAATATGTCACAATTTCTTTTTTTTAAATATACTTTTTATTGATTTTCTTAGATAGAGAAGAAGGGAGAAGGGAAGAGAGTTAGAAACGTCGATGAGAGAGAAATATCGATTGGCTGCCTCCTGCACACCCCCCACTGGGGATCAAGCCCGCAACTTGGACATGTGCCCTGACCAGGAATTGAACTGGCAACCTCTACATGCATGGGATGACACTCAGTCCACTGAGACACACTGGCAGGGCTATATCACACTTTCTGAGCCATGTCTAGATATTTCTTATTGTTAAATATGAGGCACCGTAAAAAACATAAGTTCACCAGAGACCCTCCAAACCTCTGAGAAGCCCTGCTTACAATCTTCAGATTTACAAACTAAAGTTATCTTTAATTGACAACTTAGAATATTAGTGTATGAGGTACAATTAGATAATTCAGCCACAAATTATTATAATCTAATTCTTGCCAGAAGTTCTTATAGATGCAGCCTAATTAACATGATAATTCTCTGGCCTTATTCTCTAGCTTTGTCCCTAAATTATCTGAGTAACTGCTAATCCGTGTGACATCAGCCAGGCTGTTACTCAGCTTCTGCAGAATTGCTATCATCCTGTTAAGACTCCTTGGCTCTTAGCTTTTGTGGGATACTAGAGACTTATCAGTTCATTTTTTATATCATTTATCCCAGTTCCTTCATTTTGGAACAAAGAAATTGAGGCCCAGAGAAGGGAAATGAATTGCTCAAAAACCATAAAGATAGTGGGTGGCAGAATCAGATCAGTACCAGAAATCCATCTCCCTTCTCCTTTATGTGGCAACCATTACAAATGGTGGTCTCTCTGGCCTCTTCCACCGTGTATCTTTTTCCTCCATGTACCTTCTCCATAGCTCTGGCTTTGAACATCCGGGGTAAGCCATGATGAGTGGAAAACATGCATTCTGCTGAATGTTTAGGAAATTCTTTAGGATGATCCATATATTCACCATTGTTCATTGCCAACAGTACTACTTCCAAAAGGAATCCACACTCCATGTGTTGAGGGGAGACTTTTGGCTGGAGAGTCCATGTTGGGTCAGGTACAATGCATTATGTTTCTTTCTTTTTTTTAAATTTATTTATTTTTTATTAATTAATTTTTGTTACAGATGTTTCTCCTTTTCCCCCCACTGATTCCTCCCTCCTCCTCCCTCCCTGTGCTGTCCACAGTTTGTTGTCCCTGTCAACTGTTCATGCATACATGCATATAAGTTCTATGGTTTATTTCTCCCCCACCATCCCCTCTTCTGGGGATTGTCAGTCTGTACCCCACTTCCACATCTCTGAGACTACCCATTCCTCAGACTGTTATGTTCACTATATTCCACAAATAAGAGAGATCATATGATACTTGTCTTTCTCTGTTTGGCTTCTTTCACTTAGGTTGATACTTTCCAGGTCCCTCCATGTAGTCTCAAAGGATAAGAGATCTTTCTTTCTTACAGCTGCGTAGTACTCCACTGTGTATATGTACCACAGCTTTTTTAGCCATTCGTCTACTGATGGACACTTGGGCTGTTTCCAGATCTTAGCTATTGTAAATAGTGCTGCTACAAACATGGGGGTACATATATTCTTTCTGATTGGTGTTTCAGGCTTCTTAGGGCATATTCCTAGAAGTGGAATCACTGGGTCAAATGGAAGTTCAATTTTTAATTTTTTGAATAACACCATAGTGTTTTCCATAGTGGCTGCACCAGTCTGCATTCCCACCAGCAGTGTACTAGAGTCCCCTTTTCTCCACACCCTCGCCAACACTTGTTGTTTGATGATTTGTTGATGGCGGCCAGTCTGACAGGTATGAGTTGATACGTCATTGTTGTTTTAATTTGCATCTCTCTGATGATTAGTGATGATGAGCATTTCTTCATATGTCTCTCAGTCATTTGTATGTCCTATTTGGAGAGGTTTTTATTTAGTTCCTCTGCCCATTTTTTTTTTTTTTTTTTATCCTCACCCGAGGATATTTTTCCATTTTTTTGTACAGATAGAGTGGGAGGGAGAGAGAGGAAGGGAGAGAGAGAGAGAAACATTGACGTGAAGGGACACATCGAGTAGCTGCCACCCGCATGACCAACCAGGGCCGGGGACAAACTGTAACCGAAGTACGTGCCCTTAGCGGGAACTGAACCGGGGTCTCTCCGGACCGCAGGCCGACGCTCTAACCGCTGAGCCAAACTGGCCAGGGCCCTCTGCCCATTTTTTAATTGGTTTCGTTGTCTTCCTTTTGTTGAGTTGTATGAGCACTCTCTCTATATTGGAAATTAACCCCTTATCTGATATATCATTGGCAATTATGCTCTTTCCGTTTTGATGATTGTATCTTTCGCTGTGCAGAGCTTTAGAGTTTGATGTAGTCCCATGTGTTCATTTTCTCCTTTGTTTCTATTGCCCTAGGTGATGTGTCAGTAAAAATTCTGCTGCGTATGATGCCTGAGATTTTATTTCCCACAGTCTCCTCTAGGATTTTTATGGATTCATGAGTTACATTTAAGTCTTTTATCCATTTTGAGTTTATTTTGGTGTAGGGTGTAAGTTCATTTTTCGGCAAGTAGCTGTCCAATTTTCCCAGCACCATTTATTAAAGAGGCTGTCCTTACTCCACTGTATGCTCTTGCCACCTTTGTCAAATATTAATTGAGCAAATTGCCTTGGGTCCATTTCTGGGTTCTCTATTCTGTTCCACTGGTCTATATACCTGTTCTTGTGCCAGTACTAGGCTGTTTTGATTATGGTGGCTTTGTAGTATAACCTGAAATCTGGTATTGTGATCCCTCCAACTTTGTTCTTCCTTATCAAGATTGCTGTGGCTATTCGAGGCCTTTTTTGGTTCCATATGAACTTTTGAAGTAATTGTTCTAATTCTGTGAAGTATGCCGTTGGTATTTTGATGGGGATTGCGTTGAATCTATATATTGCTTTGGGTAATATGGACATTTTAATGATGTTAATTCTTCCGATCCATGAACAAGGTATGTGCTTCCACTTTTTTATATCTTCTTCTATTTCTTTTTTCAAAGACCTGTAGTTTTCTGCGAATAGGTCCTTTATTTCTTTGGTTAAGTTTATTCCTAGGTATCTTAATTTTTTTGCCGCAATGGTAAATGGGATTGTTTTCTTAGTTTCTCTTTCTGTGAGTTCATCATTGGTGCATAAGAATGCCATCAATTTCTTGAGGTTAATTTTGTATCCTGCTACTTTGCCAAATTCATTTATTAAGTCTAGTAAGCTTTCGGTGGAGTCTTTGGGGTTTTCTACGTATAGAATCATGTCATCTGCAAATACAGTACTGACAGTTTCACAAGTGGGCATCCTTGCCTTGTTCCTGTTCTTAAGGGAAATGCTTTTATTTTTTGCCCATTGAGTATGATGTTGGCTGTAGGTCTTTCATATATGGCTTTTATTATGTCTAGATATGATCCCTCTATTCCCACACTGCTGAGCGTTTTTATCAGAAATGGATGCTGGATTTTGTCGAAGGCTTTTTCAGCATCTATTGATATTATCATGTGGTTTTTATTCTTCAATTTATTTATGTGGTGTATCACATTTATGGATTTGCGAATATTGTACCAGCCTTGCATCCCTGGGATGAATCCCACCTGGTCATGGTGGATAATTTTTCTGGTGTATTGCTGGATTCGATTTGCTAGTATTTTGTTCAGGATTTTGGCATCTATGTTCATCAGGGATATTGGCCTGTAGTTTTCTTTCTTTGTTGTGTCTTTTTCTGGTTTTGGAATTAGAATTATGCTGGCTTCATAAAACGAGTTTGGAAGTCTTCCTTCTTCTTGAATTTTTTGAAATAGTTTGAGGAGAATGGGTATTAGTTCTTCTTTGAATGTTCGGTAAAACTCCCCCGTGAAGCCATCTGGGCCTGGGCTTTTGTTTGCTGGAAGAGTCTTGCTTACATCTTCAATTTCTTCTGTTGTTATTGTTCTGTTCAAGTTTTCAATCTCTTCCTGATCCAGTTTTGGGAGACTATGTGTTTCTAGAAATTTGTCCATTTCGCTTAGATTTTCGAATTTGTTGCCATATAATTGTTCATAGTAGTTGTTAACGATCTTTTGTATTTCTGTGGTGTCAGTTGTTATCTCTTCTCTTTCATTTCTGATTTTATGTATTTGGGTTTTCTCTCTTTGTTTCTTGGTGAGTCTAGCTAAGGGTCCATCAATCTTGTTTATCTTTTCGAAAAACCAACTCTTTGTTTTATTGATCCTCTGAATTGTTTTTTGGTCTCTATGTCGTTTATTTCTGCTCTGATCCTTACTATTTCCTTTCTTCTACTTGCTCTGGGGTTTTCTTTTTGTTTACTCTCTAGTTCTTTAAGTTGTGAGGTTAGTTAGTGTATTAGAGATTTTTCTTCTTTTTTGAGGTAGGCCTGTAGTGCTATGAACTTCCTTCTCAGAACTGCTTTTGCTGCATCCCATAGATTTTGTATTGTTGTGTCCTCATTTTCATTGGTTTCCAGGAATTTTCTGATTTCTTCCTTGATCTCCTCGGTGACCCATTCATTGTTTAATAACATTCTATTTAGCTTCCATGTGTTAAAATGTCTTTGTATGTTCTTCTTGCAATTGATTTCTAGTTTCATACCATTGTGGTCTGAGAAGATGCTTGCCATAATTTCAATCTTCTTGAACTTGTAGAGACTTAGTTTGTGCCCTAACATGTGGTCTATCTTTGAGAATGTTCCATGTGCACTTGAGAAGAATGTGAATTCTGTAGTTTTGGGGTGTAGTTCTCTGTAGATATCTATTAAATCCATTTGGTCTAGTGCTTCATTTAGAGTCTTTGTTTCCTTGCTAATTTTTTTGTCTAGAGGATCTATCCAGTGATGTGAGCAGGGTGTTGAAGTCCCCTGCTATGATTGTATTGCTATCGATTTCTCCTTTGAAGTCCTCCAATAGTTTTTTAATATATTTTGGTGCTCCTATATTGGGTGCATATATGTTTATCAAGGTTTTATCTTCCTGTTGGATAGATCCTTTCAATATTACGTAGTGGCCTTCTTTGTCTTTAGTTATGGCCTTCAATCTGAAGTCTATTTTATCAGATATAAGTATTGCTACCCCAGCTTTTTTTTCTTTTCCATTTGCTTGAAAGATTTTTTTCCATCCCTTTACTTTCAATCTATGTGAGTCTTTTGTTGTGAGGTGGGTCTCTTGTAAACAGCATATAGATGAGTCATGCTTTCTTATCCAATCAGCTACTCTGTGTCTTTTTATGGGGGCATTCAGTGCATTTACATTTAAGGTGGTTATTGATATGTACTTATTTATTGCCATTTTTGTTTAGTGTGGTTCTATTTTCCTTCCCATTTCTCCTGGTAATTACAGCAGTCCTTTTAACATTTCTTGCAGTGCTGTTTTGGTGCTAATGTATTCCTTTAGCCTTTTTTTGTCTGGGAAGCTCTTTATTTGACCTTCTATTTTGAATGATAGCCTTGCTGGGTAGAGTAGTCTTGGATTCAGATCCTTGTTTTTCATGACTTTGATTACTTCATGCCATTCCCTTCTAGCCTGTAGTGTTTCTTGTGAAAAGTCAGCCGAAAGCCTTATGGGGTTTCCTTTGTAGGTAACCTGTTGCTTATCTCTTGCTGCTTTTAGGATTCTCTCTTTGTCTTTAATTTTTGGCAGTATGATTACTATGTGTCTTGGTGTGGGCCTGTTTGGGTTCTTCTTACTTGGGGCTCTCTGAGCTTCTTGAACTTGAATGCCTTCTTCCTTCACCAAATTAGGGAAGTTTTCTGTCACTATTTCTTTGAATATATTCTCTAACCCTTGCTCATTTTCTTCTTCTTCGGGGACTCCTATGATGCAAATATTATTACGTTTCCAGTTGTCCCACAGTTCTCTTAAGCTGTCTTCCTGTTTTTAATTGTTTTTTCCTTTTGGTTTTCTGATTGGTTGATTTTTTCTATCCTGCCTTCTAATTCACTGATCCGGTCCTCAGCTTCCTCTACTCTGCTTTTTAA